ACAGACATATTTTAACTGCCTCTAAAAGATTTTTACTGATTAAAAAAAAATTTATTTGAAAGGCCTGGCCAAACCCAATAGCCAGGAACTCGATCCAGGTCTTCCCATATGAGCGACAGGGACCCAACCACTTGATCCATCATCTGCTGTTTCCCAGAGTGCGCTAGTAGGAAGCTGGATCAGCAGCAGAGTAGCTGGAACTTGCACTGGGACTCTGATATTGGATGTGGGTGTCCCAAGAGTGGCTTCACTCGCCGTGCTGTGTCACCTACCCTAGATGCTAACAGTGGATTCAGGTCAACAGGTACTGAGCACCTGCCATGCCTCCACTGTGACAAGGAATACAGACATGGAAAAATGACAATCCTCCCTTTGGGGGAGAAACATCTTCCTTAGAGAATCTTTCCGAACAAACGTTTACACATATTTTTGTAATTGAGCTTGAGATGTGCATTTGACTCTTTCATTTGTAACTTTTAAAAAAGATATATTTACTACTTTATTCTTTTGTATTTTTTGTTCTACTTAATACCATTGGTTGAACTATTTAATTAACACACAATTATTCTTTTTTTAAAATTTATTTTATTTTTTTTGACAGGCAGAGTGGACAGTGAGAGAGAGAGACAGAGAGAAAGGTCTTCCTTTTCTGTTGGTTCACCCCCTCAATGGCCACTGCGGCTGGCGCACTGCGCTGATCTGAAGCCAGGAACCAGGTGCTTCTCCTAGTCTCCCATGCAGGTACAGGGCCCCAGGACTTGGGCCATCCTCCACTGCACTCCTGGGCCACAGCAGAGAGATGGACAGGAAGAGGAGCGACTGGGACAGAATCCGACCAGGACTAGACCCAGTGTGCCAATGCCGCAGGCTGAGGATTAGCCTAGTGAGCCATGGCGCCAGCCAACACACAATTATTCTTAGGTGTTTAAATTTAACTGAAAAGTGATCCCTATTAAATATAAGAGTGGGAAAAAGAGAGGGAGGAGATGTACAGTTAAGCACATGCTCACTCGGACTTACCTCTAATGGTAGAGTTAGAAACTTGCCAGGGGATTCCAATTCAATCCCATCAAGGTGGCATGTACCAATGCCATCTCACTAGTCAAAGTGATCAGTTTCAGTTCAAAATTATATGATATTATATTTTCAGTTCAAAATCATAATGATGGGATTAAGTGTCAAAGGGATCACATAAACAAGACTAGTGTCTGCTAATACTAACTGATAGAATAAAAAAGGAGAGAACTATCCAACATGGGAAGCGGGATACCCAGCAGACTCTTAGAATGGCAGATGTCCTAAACAGCACTCTGGCCTCAGAATCAGCCCTTAAGGCATTCAGATCTGGCTAAAAAAGCCCATGAGAGTATTTCAGGCACGGAAAGCCAAGACACTCTGGCAAAAAAAGAAAAAATGAAAAGATCTCTGTGAGTGAGATCCCAGTGGAAAGAATGGGCCATCAAAGAAGGAGGTACCTTTCTCTGAAGGGAGGAGAGAACTTCCACTTTGACTATGGCCTTGTCTAAATAAGATCAGAGTTGTCAACCTCAAGAGGCTTCCATAGCCTTGGCAGCTCATGACAAGAGCCTCGGGTGATTACTGACACCATAAATAAGAGTGTCAATTGTTAAATCAACAATAGGAGTCACTGTGCACTTACTCCCCATGTAGGATCTCTGTCCTTAATGTGTTGTACTATGTGAATTATGGTATAACTAGTACTCAAATAGTACTTTATACTTTGTGTTTCTGTGTGGGTGCAAACTGTTGAAATCTTTACTTAGTATATAATAAATTGATCTTCTGTATATAAAGATAATTGAAAATGAATCTTGATGAAGAATGGGATGGGAGAGGAAGTGGGAGATGGGATGGTTGTGGGTGGAGGGTAGTTATGGAGGGAAAAAGCCGCTGTAATCCAAAAGTTGTACTTTGGAAATTTATCTTTATTAAATAAAAGTTAAAAAAGATGTATTTACTTGAAAGGCAGAGATACACAGAGAGAGAGAGAGAGGGAGGGAGAGGGAGAGGGAGAGGGAGAGGGAGAGGGAGAGGGAGAGGGAGAGGGAGAGGGAGAGGGAGAGGGAGGGAGAGAGAGATTGAGAATATCTTCTTCCTCTGGTTCATTCCCCAAATGCCTGCAATGGCTGGAGCTGGGCCAGGAGGAAGCCAGGACCCTATTTGGGCCTCCTATGTGGGTGGCAGGGGCCCAAACACTTGGACCATCTTTTGCTGCTTTCCAAGGTACATTAGCAGGTAGAGGATCAGAGCTGAGGTAGCCAGGACCCCAACTGATGCTCTTATGGAACGTCAGCATTGCAGGCGGTGGCTAAGCGGTACTACAACGCTGGCCCCTCATTTGCTGTTTTGAAGCCACCAATTAGCTATCAAAATGACAGCTCCCACAAGATTTTACTTTTTGTGTTTGTTCATGCATTTAATCCCCTGACTGATGAAAAATTCTAATGCTGTCTCACAAAGGAACAGATGAAACTGTGTTTTCATCTCACACCCTGAAGACGAGTAAATATATTATTTAGACTCAACAGAGTTATCTTAGCTTTAGAGCATATGGAGGAATTGCCATATTTCAGACCATAAAAAAGATGCAAAATAAACATTAGTTCAAGGTATTTTATGTAGCAGAGTTGGAGCATATTTACTGAGAATCAGACTTGCATATGCATACTGGCAATTTCTGGACAAGAATTCTATAACCAGAGCTAGTTATGAGAGCAAAACTGCTCCATGTTTCAGGTTACAAAGTACGTGGCCATCGTAGCTCAGCAGAAGCTCCCAGAAGAAATACGTTGGCTCAATGTGTGTACTTAGGGACATTTATGGTGCCTTTGCTCTTTCTGGAGCACCTGGCAGTGGGCTCTGGGGAAACCCACCCAGAGCATGAAAAGATCATTGTTTGTCAGCACTCACTTGGAAGTTTCTAGAATGTGCTTCTGCAGGTGAATAAAGATGGTTATTGTGGAGTCTTCCTCCACCAAAAAACAATCAAGCTGACTCAGTAGCTGGTTTGGAAAAGAGCCAAGGACGCTGTCGCGGAGTTGGGGTTTGCCTGAAGAGCTCCTCTGTCCGGACAGGCGCACTCAGGGAGCGTTTTTCTTACGTTAGGTGGCATTTGTCAAGCAACTTGGAATCTATTTTCAAGCGACACTGGAAATTTAAAGAATTCACATAGTAATTAAATTTAGTAAAATATAATGCATAATGTCCATGCTCTACTACCCAAAATATTTTATCTATGACAAATGTGTCAATAGTAACCATTTCTTAAGCTATTTTCTAATCTCTCATAAGTTCATCCAAAGAAATAGTAATGGTGGGGGGATAAGTGTTTGGACTAGTGCATTAGCCACCAGTTGAGATGTGCACATCTTAAAGTGACTGGATGGATTCAAGTCCTGGCTCCACTCCTGACTCCAGCTTCCTGTTAATGTGCACCTGGGAGGCAGTAGGTGACGGCTGAAGTACTTGGGTCCTTGCCAGCCATGTTGCTACAGCCTGGCCCAGCCTGGTCATTGCAGGCATCCGGGGAGTGAACTAGCAAATGGAAGCTCTCTCTTCCTCTCTTTCAGATAAATAAGTTAAAAATGTTTAAATAACAATTTTCATAATAGAATAAAAGTACTCTTTTTAAAGAAAGTTATTCAAGAGGAAGAGAGAGGGGGCTAGCACAGTACTATAGAAGGTTAAGCCTCTACCTGCAGTGACAGCATCCCATATGGGCACCAGCTTGAGTCCCAGCTGCTCCACTTCCGATCCAGCTCCCTGCTAATGCACCTGGGAAAGGAGCAGAGGATGGTCCAAGTGCTCGGGCTCCTGCACTCACATAGGAGACCCAGAAGAAGCTCCTCGTTCTTGGCTTCTGCCTGGCCTAGCACCTGCTGGTGAAGCTATTTGGGGAGCAAACCATCGATGAAAGATCTTTCTCTCTCTTCTGTCTCTCTCTCTTTTTCTCTCTCTCTCCTTCTCTCTGAATCTCTGCCTTTCCAATAAATATTCTTTAAAAAAGAGAAAGAGAGAGAATAGAATAGGGAGAGAGAGAGGGAGGGTGGGAGAGAGAGAGAGAGAGAGAGAACACTACTTGAACCATCACCGGTTGCTTCCCAGGGTCTGCATCAGCAGGAGCTGGAATCAGGAGTTGGGGCTGGGAACTGGATCCTGGCACACGAATGTGGGACACAGGTGTCTTAAACACGAGGCCCAATTCCTGGTTTCAATAGCACATACAAAGTTATATTTGATTAATAGAAAACATGAGCGTAGAGAGGGTGTGCAAATGGATATGAAGTCCTCATGTGGCAGTCTGGGAGGTGATTGGCCATGAAAAACATGGGTGCTGATGCTTCGTGTGCTCAGCCTGGGCCCAGTGCAGAAGCAGCGGGAAGGGAAGATGGGCTTGAGGTGTCAGAGTCAGTGTGTGGCATGCGGAGAGCAGATTATTCTGAATCTGCAGATACAATCAGCCCCCTTCTCCATGGGTTCTGCACCATGGATTCAACCCTCCACGGTCAAAACTATTCACAGAGAAAATTGTGTCTGTGTTGAACATCTACAGACTTCTTATCATTTTTCCCTGAACAATAAGCATAACAGCGGTTTACATAGCATTGGCATTGTATTAGGTGTGATAGGCATAAGAGATGATTGAGGGTATACAGGAGAGTGTGTATGTGTGTGTGTGTGTGTGTGAGAGAGAGAGAGAGAGAGAGATACCCTTTTATGTAAGCACACTTGGATTTTTGTATCTCGTGCTTTTTCGTTATTAATGTCCTTAGTCTTTGTGTATCTCTACCTATTTGAGAGAGGAGACTGAGGCAGAGAGAAGTGGCCCAAGGACACACACACACACAGCAGGATTCAAACCCAAGCAGCTGAGTAACAGCACCATCACCCCTCACCACCGGGCAGCCCCCCAGCCATGGCGCAGTGCATTTGTAAACACAGACAGAACTGAAGGTGTTTCCAGGCAGCCAACTCCGTGTGTCTGGCTTAAGACATCTCACCTGCCTACCCAACTGTCACTCTCAGAAGGTTCATGTGCGTGGGTGAAGCCTTGTACCTTGGAGGACACTTCTGTGACAGAAGTAGGTTAGTAACATCCAAGTATGTTAGTGACCTCCACGGCCAGCGGGGCCAGCGGCCACAAGTGCTACACGTGTGTCCAGTCGTCTCAGAACAGACTGGAACTGACTGGAACTGAAATCCACAGTTACCTGTGAAGGATGGGGTCACTGGGAATTACACTTCTCATGCTTACAAATTTCACCACCATTTGTATGCTTGCAATGACTGCACATTCCTTTCTCATACATGAAAATCGGTAAAGCGATGGATGATGGTTTTTCCAGAGCAGGTAAGCACATGTGTTATGTGGAGTGGAGGGGAGTTTGCCATGTCACCAGGGGACTGTGATTGGGTATTAGAAAGTGCTCCACCCCCCTGCACACTTCCTTGATCTCACAAGCCTGGCTTTCATTAGACTGCACTTTGATGTTATCCCATTAGCTGCTTGAGAAAAATAAGAAACAGGTGCACAAAATTTACCACCACATCTGCTAGAGAGGAGATTGTTGAGAACGCTGCTCGTGACACCCTGGTTCCCCAGTGTGAGAATTCTCAGGAGACGTCTCTCTCAGGCCTCATTACCATGAGAAGTTGCTTTCCTGAACACCTGGGCGCCCCTCCCTCAAGACGCTCTGATTCTTGGGTGTCATCTTGCGTATCTGTTTGCATCTGCGACTGGGATGCTTAGGGGCAAAACGCTCAGCTCTCCAGCAGCACTGGCTGGTGCAGAACCAGCATGTGTAGATTGGGCTGGGCTCTTCTGACAGCTAACTTCTGGCTCGGATTCCTCCCCATCTTTTATTCTTTTGTACATGATGCACCTGCACAAGTGGCTTACATGCATTTCCAGAGGAAGTCACTACTGAGTACCCATTTAATGACACGTGTGCCACCTCTCCCCACCTTTGCTGCTCCTCACACAGGGGCTGCCAGGGCGTTCCCCACTTCAGCTGGGAGATTTTTTTAACCAGAGGTTATACACAGAACTTCCTTTTAATAAAAGGATTCGGTTTTTTTTTTTTTTTGAAAATCCTCAACAATACACATGCAGGTGGATGCATTTTAATGCTTGTACTTGAACAATTTTATATAACATATTTCAGGTTTTTTGTGTTGCATGCCATAGTTTTTCAGTGTCTTCTCCTATCATCGTTTATGTGATTGATTGAGTATTTTGACCTGGATCACATGGAGCCCTTCAGCCAACTCCATCTCTCTTCTGTCATTCAGAGCCAAACTTCTCCAGAGCTGTCTTTAGGTGCTAGCTGCATTTCCTCACCCCCTGTTCACAGCCCACCCTGCTCCACCTGGCAACAGCCTGCATCATGTCTCTGCATTAAGACCGGCTGCTTCCACGTAGGTAAATCCAGGGCACGTTTCTTCAGGCTTCTGACTTCTCAGCGGCATTCGGCACAGCTGACTGTGTCTGGGAGCTGGCCACGGATGAAACACAAGGCAGATGCAAGGGGGACTCAGCTAATACAAAAAGCATGTCACATACACTGATGCATTAAAGATTGTGATCATTAAACAGACAGCGTCTGGATGATGAAAAGATAAGCCTCAGCTTGTGAAAACACGTGCAAAACCACAGATCTCAGAGAGAGCTCCTATCCTGAATATGTGGCAATCTCACAGAGCTCAGTGGTAAGCAAACATTCCCATGTAAAAGTCAGCACGTTGAGTAGACACTTCATCCAGGAAGACATACCGATGACAAATAAATATATGAAACGATCCTTGGGCCGGCCTCCTGGCTCATTGGGTCAAGCCGCCACCTGCATCCCATGAGTGCTGGGTTGAGTACCGGCTGCTCCACTTCTGATCCAGTTCTCTGCTAATGCACCTGGGAAAGCAGCAGAAGATGGCATTTGGGCCCCTGCACCCATAGAGGAGACTCGGATGGAGTTTTAGGGTCCTGGCTTCAGTCTGGATCAGCCCTGGCGATTGTGGCCATTGGCCATGTGGGGAGTGAACCAGCAAATAGAAGACTGATTGATCTGTCTCTCTGCCTCTCTCTATATAACTCTGCCTTTCAAATAAATAAATAAATCTTAAGAAAGATTCTCAATGCCATTAATCATTTGCATTAGTCAAAAATGCGAATTTAGTGAGACAGTATTGTATACCTGTCAGAGTGACAACGAAGCTGACAATATGAAAGTACTGTTGAGTTCGTGGAGCAACTGGAATTCTCATACCTTGCTGGAGCAAGATGGCACGGCCACTTTGGAAAACACTTCAGCAATTTCTTGAAAAGTTAAACACACCACTTCCATTTAACCCAGGCTCCCCAGGCATTAACCTAGGTGAAATGGAAAATTATGTTCACAAAAGTTGATTGTCTAAGCTTGATTTGAAATTGCAGAAACCTAAAAACAGTCCAAACATCCACAAACTGGTGAATGTATGATTAATCTGTGGTATATCCACACACATTGACCGCCTTCTCAGTAGTAAAAAGCCACGAAATACTGACACCTGCAGCATGGACTTCTTTGTCCTCCACAGTCCAGGAGGAAGGCAAGTCAGAAGCTCAAGTTCATGTGGGCTGGCAAACGCCCTCAGAGAAAAATGACTTTGGTGCTTTTCCTAACTCTCTGGGCTTCAGCTTGCACACAGATCTGGGTCTGGTCCTTCCTTCCTTTTATTTTCAATGCTTTGATGACTTTAAGAAGATGCCTTTTAAAATTTTTATTCAAAATTGGTAGTTGTCAAAATAGAACTTGGTCCAAATCACATAGCCTATTATATACCAGTCACAGGAAAAGACTGGTGTGGGAGGGTTTTAGTGTTCCTTCTGTCTCATCATGGAGCTAGATGCCTGCTCATAATGCCAGATTATGGCAACAGTAGGGGTAGTGTCAGAAGAGGTATCTTTCAGGAAAGAGCATCAGAATACTTGATCTTGTGTCGTGAGTCCAAACCTACAGCTTCCATTAAGTTCTACCACTGCCCCTACTCCATGTAGCCAGAACCAAATGAAAATGGGACTCTCCCTCTCCACTGGAGGCCTCAGCCCACCCCTCCCAACCCTGCCATCTGCATTGTCTTATCCTTCCCAGTTCAGACTCAGCGTCCTCTCTTCCTTCTCCACCTTCTCTTCACTCTTCATACCTGGTACTTGTCTCCTTTCTCTCTATGGCTTTGGCTCCCCATACTCCCGGGTCTGTGTGCCTCAAGTTTCCTGGCTCACCTGGCCTTGGTCCCACCTACCTGAGCGTGGCCTCTTAGAAGATGATCTTCTGGCTACCTTGGCCAGAGCCAGGACCGGTACTCACACCTCCATGCAGGTTTCACAGTCCTGCATATAAGGGCCTTCTCTCAAATTTCAAATAAGAAAGTTGAATAATTCATTTCCTTATCCAGTGTTACATTTCTAGAGTCAAGGGCATTTTTAATGCTACTGGAAAGTTCTTAAATTTTAGTACCCTGCATGAATGATTCATTTTAAAAAGAATTCGGGTCTGGCTCTCACCTCCCCTCAGTCATGAGGGCAGCGGCCAGCTTCTCGCCCACCTGGTGTCCCCGGAGCCTGACCCATGCACTGTCCGCCCCTTCCTGTACCTCAGAAAGGAAGCTGCAGTTCTAGCACGCCTTGAGACCTTTCTTTTAAAGGCCAGTACATGACAATAGCCCTTAATGATGTCATGCTTCCCCGTTGTGGTGTTCCCTACCCCAACCCCCTTCCCTCATGGCCAACATTTTACATATTAGGATCTGCTTGAGGTGTTTGAAAAGGATGGATTTCCAATGGAAGATGATACTAAGATACAGGCAGTGGAGGAATTTAAATGCAACAGGAGCGACTCTCTTACGTTGATGCTGTCCTTAAGCTTATCTAGACAGGCTGGGAACTGATCTTTCAGCCTGTGACCTCTGCTCTTTGCTGACAAAACTGGGAAAGGGAAAGCTGACAGCGTTCCATCCCTGCCCTTTGTCAAATGTCGGTCAGAGGCAGTGTTTGCTCCTTAGGCTGTTTGGAGCCACCTGAAAAGCAACAGAACCAAGGGGCAATGAGAACCTCTTGAATTGGTGTAGAGAAAGCCTGTGTATGCAGGGGCCTTGAGCATTCCCCTTGGACTCTTTCATTTCAGCGGTTATTTTGATAGGATGGTTTCCCAGGCCAACTGTCGATGCTTGGCCAGGACTAGGGGTTTAGGCAGAGAAGTACCTGCAGAAGTCAGACAAGAGGTACATCTAGCCAGAGATGTGTAAGTCCCTAAAAGATGGACCCGTGAGTAGACACCTACCGAGATAGACTGGGGCCTGGAAGAGAGAGACAATGGCCACTTGTGTTGTCTTCCTCCTCTGATTCATTCATTTGACATACGAGCATACCACTTGAATGTCTACGCAAGTACTTTAGAATTTCCTAAGATTAGGCAGGACCTCTTTCTATGCACTGAACCACACTTCGATTCTTTTAATAGCAATGAGATAGAAATTTTAGGACACACACACACAAAGACGGAAGGTTTTCACATCCCTTTTGATCTTTTTCAAGAGTAATGCTGTTACTACTGGGTAACTTGAGAAGACCAGGGTAAGGGCAGGTTAAGAGGGAAGGAGCCACAGGTTCTGTCTGCCAAGTTCAATGTGAGATGCCTGCTGGACATCCAAGAGGTGACGTCAAATTGGCCGAGACTCAGGAGCAAGGGGGAGTCGGGACTGGAGCTGCAGGCTTGGGAACCACCCAGGTATAGATGACGTTTACCCCTTGCCAATGGCAAGAATTGCCTTGAAAAGGCTGAGAACTTGAGCATAGCAAAGAGTGCGGAGGAGCGACAGTGAGCTGAAAGGAGAGTGAAGTAAGTGGCGGCCTGGGAATCACGTGTTTTAAGGAGATGTGATCAAGTGGTCGGGGAGGTCAGAGGAGCTGTGGCCCGAGACCCACTGAGGGCATTTGTTTAGAGGCAACAGTCCAGGACATGGCCAAGGGTGGTGTCTGTGCAGAGGCAAGGGTGAAAACCTGGCTGGAGCAGGCTGATTGGGAAGAGGATGAGAGAAGGGTGGCCACATGGGCACCTTGGAGCAGGTGCCTCCTGCAGGAGCTCGCTCCTCACCAGGGCGGGAGCCCTCCATTTCCCTCCCTCTGAGTGCTGTGTCCTCTTGCCAGCTTCCCCTCGTTGTCTCCGGCACTGCAGCAGAATAAGCCCCTCTCAGACCCCTCACTTTTGGGTCAAGATCTTCCAGGTTGCATCCAAACCACACAATAACTCCCCCACCCCATGTATTAGTCTGAACACTGCTGCTCCCTGAAGTTTTTTGCCAATCACCCTGCCTGATTGACCTTTGAACTGCTTCATACTTTTTATCACAGGCAATTAAAAAAGAAGTTGGGGAGCCAACTTTGAGGTGTAGTAGGTTAAGCCTCCACCTGCAGCACCGGCATCCCATACAGACACCAGTTCATGTCCCAGCTGCTCCACTTCCAATCCGGCTCTCTGCTAATCGTCTGGGAAAGCATCGGAGGATGGCCCAAGTCTTTGGACCCCTGTACCTGCATGGGAGACCTGGAAGAAGCTCTGACTCCTGGCTTTGGATGGGCCCTGCTCCGGCCATTGTAGACATTTGGAGGGTGAACAAGCAGATGGAAGACTCTCTCTCTCTCTCTCTCTCTCTCACTATGCCTCTCAAATAAATAATTTTTTAAAAAAAATTGGGTTTTAAGAAAAATTATTTTTCTAAAAAAACATATTTCATCTTATGTGAATTTAAATAACATTCTTAAATTCAATGTGAGGTCAAAATTTGGGCTGAATGTAAACCTAAACCATAAAGTTACAGTCTGCAGAGCTCATCTTCTCAAACAGGGACAATTTGAGTTCTGCGTTTCGCTCCAGGACAGGGCGAGTGCTGAGATCCTGTGAACGCTTCCAGGCCAGGGCTATTTCTGCTGTGCACACGGCGACAGCCTCAAGCGAGGCCAACAGGTTAAGTATGTAGAGATACCTGGCACCTGGCAGGCCCCGTAGCAGAAGGGAAACCAGCCTGGGGCTGGCCCTGCCCCACACCTTCTTCTTCATAAACACAGTTACTTTAAGAGACACAATCGAGACTCCCTTCTGTCTGTTGAGCACTGGGTCCCATTAGCCTAAACCCAAGTTTTATTCTGGAATAAAAGGAAAAATCAGCTGAAAAGTGCTGGAAAGGAAGCCAGGAGTATAGAATCCTCAAAGATAAGAGGAGACACTCAAGGCTGGGCAGGAACACAGCCGTGCGGCCCACCCTGGCCCATGCTCTGCCCACCCTGGAAGGCAATGCCGAGGGTAGGAAAGAGAGTAACATGCCTAGAAGAATCTCATGTAGAAATGGTGGGTTTGTCATTTTTCATTCTGTAATTATTTTAACTGTGAAAGCATCAGATATCCCAAACAACCTCTATAACATGCATGTATAATTCTCTCCTTTTTTAAAATTTAATTTTTATTGTGCAATAACAACAACAAAAATCCAGGATGCAAGGAAGGAGACTTGGCCTTTCTGTGCTGGGAGGGGTAGTGGGTGGGGAGAGCAGGTGTGTGACGTCACACGTGCATCAGTACCGGCTCACCCATTGACCTGAGGGCAGGAATTACCTCCCGGCTTGGCTCTGGCTCTGGCGGGCTTATCTCCCTTCAGCAGTTCCTACGCCCTACAGGAACCCACACCGGGGCCCAGGCCAGCCCCGCCCACCGGAGTACACGGGCCCCTTGGCTGCCGCTCAGTGCTCAGGGGCTCAGCCACAGGCCTGCAGGGAAGGCTGCAGAGGGCTGCCTGGAGTATGTGTGCTTAGCTCTGCACTGCGAAATTCCAGTCTTTAAAGGTGCCAGCTGCCTGGAAACAGGTTCTTCAACTTGCTGGAGAGAATTTTCAAAACCGGAGAGCCTGACTCTCAACCCACAAGGAAGAAGGGCTTTTATCCAGACATTACTAAGGGATCATTATTGATTAACCTGTCACCTAATGGAAAAGTAATTCCAGTGAGTGGATTGGATAATCCTAATGGAATTGCAGAAGCTGCCCTTTGGTGGATTCTCAGCAACCTGGGCGATGCTGAGTGGTCAGGTGGAGTGGCTGCCCCGCTGCCCCCGCAGGCCGGGTGCCCAGGCAGCTTCCTCTTCATCCCATGCACCTGCAGAACCAAGTCCCAGGGCTCTTGCATCCCAGCAGAATTCTGGGAGCCTGTTTGCTGTTTGTTGTGGAACTTCCCTTAGAATCTAGCTACCCCTTGGCCCTGATGCACTTGAACCCATCCCCTGCTCCAAGTCCCAGCAGCCTGACCTCTGGCTCACTGGCAGACCATCCACGCCTCACACCCTG